TCCACGACCAGCTCCGCAACCGACCAACTCCAACCGAGGCCACAGACCTTGGCGACGTTCAGTCTCAGATCAATGATCTTCGATCTTTTCTAGACCACACTACGGCGACGCTTCGCACCGAAGCACGCACAAACTCGTCGAACCTGATCGACATGTTGCAGCGTACTGAGAGAGTCATCACTCAAAGGCTTGATGCGACCAACGCTGTCGTGCAGCCACTCGCTAACCGGATCTCTGACATAGAGCAGCGTTTCCCTGGTGTACAGGACGCCCTGGCAGAGTTGCGTGTCGGACGAGCCCAGACTGATCAGCTGGATTCTCCTCCCACGGTTTACGATTTCGCCCGCCTCACTGACAGGTTGCAGGAGGTTGAGAAGGCGGCGGACCACACGCAGTTAGAGCTCTCCCAGGTTATTCATGAAAGAGATACTGAGAAGGTACGTGTAGAGAGTTACCTCGCACGTCTGGAAAGCGAGGTGGAGGCGCAAAGCGCCCGTCTCCGAGCATGCGAGCATCGACTTGATCGGTATTCACAACGGTCTCGGGATACTGATGAGTATACACGCCAAAAGGTGGGTCAAATACAAGAAGACATGACGAGCTGGACGAATCAGCTGATCGACCACACTAACGACACCAACATTCACCTTCGACCTGCAGCCGACCCGCACAGGCCGACGGCAGCGTCCGCCGAAGCACCACAAGCTTCAGCAGGACAACAACGACGTACGTCCCCAGGAGCAGCCTCCGCGGCAGCTTCTGCACAGACACGTCATGTGTCTCCTGTGCGCACAGAACCAACCACCGACGGTGCACCGATACCCTCACAACCAGTGTCTGCGGTGTCGGTCCATACAACGACGCCTATCAAGGAGTCAGACACCGTCCGTGTACCTGTCTTGCCTAAGATCACGCAGCTGCTGGAGTGGCAGCAAAGCATACGCCTTCCTACGCGTGGCAGAACAGCCCGAATGTACATTCGAGGATTTACAAGACAGTGGAGACTTTGAGAGCATCGATTGCAAACTCGCAACCGCTCTGAGCGACATCTTATCCTCAGACTTACGCTACCAAATCAGGCTCATCGAGACCAGAGAGCACAAAGCAGGACGCATGCGCAAAGGACGCCAGATATACTGGCATATCCTACAGTCCTACAAAGTGACAGACTTTGACGACGATCTGCACGATTTCGAGCGCCTTAAAGAACTGAGGATGAGAGATGAAGATTTGCAACGTTTCATTACCGATTGGGACGCCTTACTCTTGGAATGCCGAGAAGTACCCGATCCAAAGATATTGGAATCGCTATTTCGCACACAGATTCGTAGACATGCATGGATGAAACAAGACATGTACGAGTACCAGCGCATGAAG